GTACTTGGTTATGGGTTTTGAAAATAGTTTTTGAATTAAGTTTTGAGTTAGGTGTTTGGTTACGATTAGAGTTTGGAGTTGTGTTTTGAGTTTAAAATATTAAAACATATAACAAAAAAAAATAAAATAAAATATTTAAAAATATATTTATAAAATAAAAATTATATATTTAAAATAAAAATTATACATTTAAAATAAAAAAATAAAAATTTTAAATTTTTTTAATATTAAAAAAAATACAACACATAAATGTATGAAATATAGTGCATATTAAAATAAATAACTAAATATTTAAAGTATAAAATATTTATTCAAAAAAATAAATAAATACAAATAAAAACTATTTTCAAAACTCATAATCAAACAAATTTTCTCTTTTTAAAACTAAATTTAAAACTCATAACTCAAAATACGACTATACATTCAAATCATGATTCTAAAAAATAAAATAAAAAAATACTTTTTGAATTTTTTATTTTAAAATAAAATTTCGAAAGAGTTTGATGTTTTGAATTTTGAATTAAATTTTAAATTGTATGTTTAATTATAAATTTTAAAAAATGATTTGAAAATTTTTCCTTTCAAATCATGATTAACAAAGCCGAAGATATTTCAAAAATGGTTTCTGTAATTTTATTGAACCTCGAGGAGGTAAGTGTAATTTAGGCCACCGCTTTCAGAGATCAATCTGGTCCCACTGGATTTTTTCTTAGGAAAATCTGAAAACCCTAATTTCGCCTTTTCCCTAAATTCTAATCATATATAATTGATCAATGTGATCTCGATCTCGATCTCACAAAATTTCGAATCTTTGCAATTTCATCACTCAATCACTCGATTTAGATTTGGATTTGGATTTGGAATTGAAATCGAAATCAAAATCAAAATTACCCGAGCGAGTGAGTGAAACCGAGTCATGTCGGACGAAGAACACCATTTCGAATCGAAGGCTGACGCGGGAGCTTCCAAAACCTATCCTCAACAAGCCGGTACCATTCGCAAGGGAGGTCATATCGTCATCAAAGGACGCGCTTGCAAGGTTTTGATCTATTTCTTCGTTTTATTGCTGTCGATTTCTGTCTAATTTCTTATGATTTTGTATTGTAACTTTTGAGTGTTGATTTGATTTTGATTATTGAAAAATGTTTGCTGAAAATTGATTATTCTGGACTTTGGATTGATTGCTTTATCTGGGTGTTCAACACCATCTTTTACACTGTAGATTATCATAATTTTGGTACTAACTGTTTTAAATATTTTCTTATCTATTGCTAACTGTTTGGCTTATGGGTATTTTTTTTCTTTTGGAATGTGTTAAATTGTTTGGTGCAACTTCTTATAAGACAAAAAGGTGCTTGAATACACTGATTATTGGAAAGTTGTGGAAGAGCATGCTTTTAGCTTCTGGTGTTTTTATTATCAATTTTCAGCTTAAAAAAAAGCTGTACCAATCAGGTTTTTGTCTGATTGAGAGGGTTTGGTAACCTAAAAAGGGCTTGCCTTGTCATGCCATGACATGCCACATTTGTTTTTCAATGTCTGCAGTTTCCTTGGGCACTTTATGATTTTAGAATATGGTAGAGGAAAAGAAAGAGTAAGGCTATGTTTGGAGGATGGATTGGAGTAGGGATTTGGAAGGGAAAGGAAAGAGTAGGTGAAATATGAATGAAATATAATTACATTTCACACAATTTTCCCCTTTTTCAAATTCCTACCAAAATCCATGCTCCAAAACATAGCCTAAAAGAAAACTGATTTCCCACTGTATTTTGCGTGGTGGCTAAACAAGGAAAAGTGATTTACTTTGCATTTCCTTTTATTTGCTTGGCCAAATTTGTGAACCGAATGAAGGGCCTAGTGAATTGGTGTTTTTGAAGAAATTCCAATGAGCACTAGGTTTTGGTTCATGTCTAGTAAAAGTTGTCTAGACATTATCCATTGTACCATATTTCACACCATCAAATGCATGTGGGGAGGGTTTTCATTATTATTTGGTGGCTTGGGAGAGGGTTTGTGCTTTGAAGGAGGAGAGGGGGGTTTGGGCGTGGGGGGTGTGGAAATTGGTGGTGTTTAATTGGGCTTTATTGGGTAAGTGGTTGTGGCGTTTTGTGGGGGAACGGGAAAGGTTATGGAGGAGGGTGGTGGTGGCTAAGTATGGGGAGGAAAGGGGGAGTTGGTGTTCGAAGAGGGTGGTTCAACCACATGGTCGTGGTTTGTGGAAGGGGATTTGGTTGGGGAGGGACATCTTTTGGGAGAGGATTCGGTTTACCATGGGTGTTGGTGATCGAGTTTGCTTCTGGCAAGACCGGGGTGTGATGGCTTAACTGTGGCAGCCACGTTCCCTTTGATTTATGTTCTTGCCGCTGATGGGGAGGAGGTGGTTGCTTCGGTTAGGGAGACGCAAGGGCAATCCGTTGTTTGGAATGTTCGTTTTCGTCGTGCTGTACAAGATTGGGAGCTAGACCAATTGGTGGATCTCCTAGGTTTTTTGTATGGGTTGCAGCAGGGAGGGGATGGGATGGATTCTATGGTATGGGATGTCTAGAGTTCTCAAGGTGTTTTCTCAGTGTCCTCTTTTTATGGGGCGCTTGCTGGGGGTGTTGGTGGTGTGTTTCCGTGGAAATGTATTTGGGCAATAGGTTCTCCTTCCAAGGTAGTTTTCTTTGTTTGGACAGCTGTTTTGGGCTGTATCCTTACCATTGATAATTTGATCCGGCGGAGGCACGTGTTGGTCAATCGGTGTTGTTTGTGTTGTAGCGATGCGGAAACGGTTGATCATTTGCTTGTGCACTACCCAGTGGTGTCACGGCTTTGGTGTAGGGTGGTTGCTCTTTTTGGGTTGGTTTGGGTGCAACCGGGATCAGTGTTGGATGTCTTGCTTAGTTGGGGCGGAGCGAGGGTGGGTAAGAGGCGGCGGAAGGCTTGGTTACTTGCTTCTCATTGTTTGTTATGGTTGGTTTAGTTGGAGCGTAATAGGTGTGTGTTTCAAAATATGTGTCATTCCTTTATTTGGTTAGAGAGTAGGCTTCTTATGGTATTCCATAGTTGGGTTACCAGTTCGATTGATCCTGACGTGTTGGCTTTTGTACATTTTGTGGAGGATTTGCTTAGATAGTGTGTTCTTGCAGTCCATTTTGGGTTGGTTTCTTTCTTGTATTCTTTGCATCACCTTGATGCTAAGTTTGTTTACTTATCAGAAAAAAATAAAAAAAATAAAAAAATTAGGGCATGAACATGGTTTAGGATTAGAATTAAGTTTTACTAGTCTGTTATATGAACAGTTTGGGTAACAGGGTGATGAGAGAAGAGAATATTTTAATTGTAATGTTTGAACACTCTAAAGAAATTTATTGCTGAAAAGTATTAAGACGATAAGGAGCGAGGGATAACACCAAAAATTCTAGTTATAGCCATTTCCAATGAATATTAATCAAGCTTTTTAATAATTAATTTGGAACCATCATTTAGCCTCTAATTAATATAAAGGAAAAGGAAATGAAATACAAGAAAAAGAGTAGTTGCAAAATTGTATTAGCATGAGTAATACCTTGCAATTGTAGCATGTTGTTTCTTCTCTAAAAACAACTTGGGACAAATGCAGTTATGCAAGCATGCTAGGACTGAAAATGTAGTCCAAATAATATAACCCCTACCAAGCTCTTGTGTGTAGCTTTTAGGGCAAAGAAACTACCTGATTCTTTTTCCTACTTCAATGAAGAGGGCTTCATAATTTCTTTGGTGTGAATTAAAGTTTTTAAGGCTGAAAGTGCCAGGCAAGGCGTTATACTCCTCACAGGGCGAGGCTTAAGCCTCAAGGCATTGGGGCGTAACTAAGCTTTTTGATTTTTGAGTTTTTAAATTTTCATAAAATATAATTAATTAAAAATAGTTTGAAAAGGATTTATTTAAAAAAAGGGTATAAAAAGGAGTTTAAAAAATAATAATAACTACTAAAATTCATAAAAGTTATTCCAAGCAACAAAGGGAGCTTTTAAATACACCCACAAACTTTTTCTTCTCACCCACTGTTGGGGTGTTTGGCAAGAAAAATTTTAGGTAGCGTTTGGTAGATTTTTCTAAATATGATTTGAGAATAGAGTTGTATTTTGAATTTGTGAGTTTTGGAATTATAATTTGAATGTAGAAAATCTGTTTAGTTATGAGTTTTGAAAAAAGTTTTGAATTGAGTTTTGAGTTGAGTGTTGAATTGAATTTTGAATGTTTGATGTGACATATGAAATAAGAAAATTTGTTTGGTTATGAGTTTTGAAAAATAATTTCAAAACTTAATTCAAATTGTTATAATTCATAACCTATGAAGCACGGGTACGGGTACGAGTACTGGTACTGATACGATATGGGTACGTCGATATGGTAAAATTAAAAAAAAGTAAGGTACGGGTACGGCTTGGTACGCTTGTAAAAAAATATTTATTTTTAATTTATAATAATGTAAAATTAATTAAATGGTTTAATTTGTTAAGATCCAACCTATAATTAACATTTAATGTCAAAAGTAAAGGTATAAATCAAAATTAAATGTCAATATATTTTACAAATCATAGTTTAATTTTAAAAACATGCTAAGTATAAAAATAAAAATAAAAAGAAGTCTAGTTAAAGGGGTTTTATCTCTATAGGAGAAGAAAATATTGTTTCAACTGAGGTACGGTACGATTTGGGTATATAGTAGGTACGTTTGGGTACGTCAAAAATTAAGAAGAAAAAACTTGGGTACGTGTTTCGTGTACCCGATACGTATGCAGAAGTACCATACGAGGTACCATATGCCGATAAGTACCCAGTACGGGTACGGCATGTTTTTCGAAGTACCCATGCTTCATAGTTCATAACCAAACATACTACTAAAAAAATGAATTATTAATTCTGATCAACATTCATAACCAAACTCTTTTTAAAATTCTGATCAACATTCATAACCAAACTCTTTTTAAAATTCAATTAAAAAAATTAATTATTAACAAAAACTAACATTAATCAAATTTTTTAATTGAAAATATTACAAAAGAAATATTTTTTTTTCAAAATAAATATTCAATTACTGATTTAAAATAACTTTTATTGTATACTTGGTTCGAACTATTTTTTAAAATTTTTTTTGATTTAAAATATAAAAAAATATATTTTTTTGTTAAAAAAAATAAAAAACAAATTCCTTTTTCTTTTTTGTTTTTTTTTTTTTCTTCCAAAATAATAGGTGCCATTTGCAAAAAAAAAAAAATTGTTCCGATCAACTGGCCGAACGACCGACCAGACATCTGGGGTGATGTCCGAGAGGACGACTAGGTAGACCAAAATCGCTCTTTTTAAAATTCAAAATTCAAAAACTCACTGTGCTGCCAAACAAGTTTTCAATTGAGTTTTCAAATGTGACTTGGAATCAAATTTGGAAAACTTAAACCAAACACAGCCTTAGTGTCTTTTAGGCTAAAATTTACAAAAAAAAATAAAATAAGCTAAAATAACTAACAAAATGGCACATTAAATTCATAATCATTTCACTTTTTCTCTTACAAATATCACATCTAACTACAAAAAAATCCAATCATCTTCTCAAACACAAAAATTTTAGCCTACTAAAATAGCCAAAAATTAAAATAGCCTACTAAAATAGCAACTTTCCAAACACCCACTATATGTATCATTACTAAAAACATTTGTATATATTGGTGTACAGATATATTTTGTGTCTATTTGAAAAAGAAAAAGAGGCCACCCACAAAATTACATATTACAAGAGAGAAAATCGAGCGGCAGAATCGAGTATTGAGAGAGAGAGAGAATTGAGAGACGTAGGTAGAGAGATTGAGAGAAACAAAGAGGGTTAGAACCCGACCTTTTGCCAATTTCTTGACCCGCACCCGCCCGCCTACCTACATCGAAACCGCCCAAAGCACTGCGGGTAGGGTAGGGTCGGACGGTTTGTGCGGACGGGTGGGTTTGTTGCCCAGCCCTAATCTTCTCAAATACAAAAATTTTAGCCTACTAAAATAGCCAAAAATTAAAATAGCCTACTAAAATAGCAACTTTCCAAACACTCACTATATGTATCATTACTAAAAACATTTGTATATATTGGTGTACAGATATGTTTTGTGTCTATTTGAAAAAGAAAAAGAGGCCACCCACAAAATTACATATTACAAGAGAGAGAAAATCGAGCGGCAGAATCGAGTATTGAGAGAGAGAGAGAATTGAGAGACGTAGGTAGAGAGATTGAGAGAAACAAAGAGGGTTACGTATTGCATTGTGCAAATCTGCACATCTGACTTGAGAAGCAACAAACTGAAGGTGAAAAAGAAGAATCAAAGCTTGAAATTGTCTTCATAGACCTGAAGCCAATGAATTGTTGAATCAAAACCCTACGTTTGCCTCCTTGTATTTTTGAGATGCCTCTTATTTTTTCATATTTCTTTTTCTTTTCTTTTTTTTTAATTTATACTTCAATACTCTCATGAGGCTTGCACCTCGACCATTGAAGGTCAAAGTTGCAAAATGCGTATCTTAGGTGAACGCCTTGGCCAAGGTGCATACGCCTAGTTGGTGTTGAGCGTAAGATTGAATGCCTTGAGGCGTGCCCCGCCTCGCCCTGATGCATGCCTCAATGCGTTCTGGGCCTCAATGCGTTCCTCAGCTTCGCCTTTCAAAACATTCATGTGAATGAATGTAACTAAATGTAAAGGATAATGCCGAATTGAATGAGAATGGTTTGTCATTAATGAAAATCGACAAGTATAGTGAACGACTTGGACATTAAACAAACTAGCTGAAGGCTAATGAAATAGTAATTGGAATTTGAATGTATGTTATACATTAAGCAACGGAAGCCTAAGCTTGAAACGATTTTGGTTGAATTGGTTGGATTGGATGTATTTCCTTTGCTTGCATGTTGTCCTCCTTTTATTAACCATGGCCGATATAGCTGTAGTTGGCCACTTCCCCATTTTTCCTTGGCCAATCTTGACAAGTTGACCCATGGCTGATATAGCTGTTGTTGGTAATTTTCTGATGGTTTATTAGTTGGTGTATTAGTTGCTATATTATCCATGGCAATTTGACCCATGGCTGATATAGCTGTTGTTGCTATATTAGTTGGTGTAGCCAGATATGAACATTTGTCCGTATGTATTAAAGTGGCACAAGAGCACAAATGCATTGGTCAGAGCATTTGCCTATATGCCATATAGTTAGGGTTCATGATTTTGATTACATGGATTAGGTTGGATTGAGATCCACAATGAGAGTTTTTATTTTTATTTTTTACATGGTTGGTTCAAATCATAGGAAGGGCATTAATTGTAAGCATTGTTGTCGAACTGTAAATCGTTTTGTTAAAATAGTGAATTGTGAGTCTTAAGTTTCAATTTATATGGTTGGTTCACTCAATTTAAGATTCAACAATACAAATCGAATTGTTTTGGTTGAAGCTTGTATCGCATTGTATGAATTGATCATGAATTGTATGATTCTAACAACCATGATTGTTAGTTTGTAATTTGTAACATGTAAGAATTGTGTTTTTACACATGTAAAATGTATTTTTCTGATAATTTGGTGATTGATGATCTGAATTCTTTACATTTGGTAGTTAAGTCTTGAGTCTTAAAAGGAGTTTCTGATCATTAGTTTTTGTATCTTATATTGGTGCACTTGTTCTAAACCCATTGTCGTATTGTGTACTCTGTAGTTAATAGATTCCTTTCTTCTTGTTGATTGCTTGATAACCCGACACTTTTCTTGTTGTAGGTTGTAGAAGTTTCTACCTCCAAGACTGGCAAACACGGTCATGCTAAATGCCACTTTGTTGCAATCGACATCTTCAATGGAAAAAAGCTTGAAGATATTGTACCATCTTCCCACAATTGTGATGTATGGACCTGTCTTGTTGAAAGTAGTTTTTCTATTGGTGCTTTCTTTTTGCATTACTTGCAAATCCAAGAAGTTTGCCTGTTGTGCAGGTTCCTCATGTCAACCGTACTGACTACCAACTGATTGATATTTCTGAGGATGGATTTGTATGTTAATTTAAATTTGTTTTCTTGATCTTGCTTGGCTATATTGTTTGTCTCCAAGCATTCTGATTTTACTGAATTACATATTTCAGGTGAGTTTGCTGACTGACAATGGTAACACCAAGGATGACCTGAAGCTTCCAACCGATGAGAGTCTGCTGTCCCAGGTAAGTTGGCCTGCAATTGTTTCTCAGCAAAGAACTTGTGTCACTCCTGGATGAATTTTAAAATTATTGTTTTTTTTTTCTTGGAGATTTAAATCTTTTAGGGCTAATTTTACTTTTATCCCCTAAACTATAATTATTTTTTGTATTTCATCCTTGAGCTATTAATTTCATCTAGTTAGTATTTTTCTTGGAAACAGTTGTTCAAATTAAACCTAATTTGATTGACAAAAGGGTCATTTCAAAATCTGAACAGCTTAAACTATACAATCAAACACACAGTTTTTATTCACTATTTTGAAATGAGGGGTCTTAGAAGAAGATGAGTGTTTAGTTGTCTAGTGTAAGTTGTCTAATATAGTGTGAGTAAGAAGATGGGTGTTTGGTTGTCCAAATTATAAAATTATATTTTTGCTCATTAAGTTAGGTTTTCCACCATTATTGATTGGAATTCACTATCTCCAATTGAACCATATAAATTGAAATCAGAAACTTAAGGGACTGTATAGATGAACTTGATAGTTGAGGGATGAAATAGGATAAGAGTAAAATTAACCCAATTTTTTAATTTGTTGTGCCAGTTCATATTTACTTGTGGCTGTTATGGGCTTTTAAGATGTTCTACTTGGATCTGTGTGTGTGTGAGCTAAATAGAGTTCTGTTCACCCCTGCTTTGCCTTTGTTTTTCATCGTCATTGTTCAACGTTTTTCTTGTGTTGGTTATGGTGTGCAGATCAAGGATGGCTTTGCTGAGGGGAAAGACCTGGTCGTGAGTGTGATGTCTGCGATGGGAGAAGAGCAGATCTGTGCTCTCAAGGACATTGGCCCAAAGTAGTGTCTCATCTTTACAAACAGTTGTCTAAATCTATTGGAAAGATGTTTTTTATAAGATCATTTTCCAGCTTTTTTTCTAAGACTGAGGGTATTCAGTTTGAGCCGCCACATGGATTTATGTGTTTATGAATGTTAAACTTTATGGTTTCTTGGTATTGTTTGTTTGTTTGTTTGTTTGTTTTCTTTCTTTTTTTTGCATAAATTGGGAAAATTGTAGTGAAATATTTGCAAATCATGAGATATTTTTCAAAATTGCCAACTTAATGAAGTATTCAAAAGTAACTATATTGAGGTGAAATTTTGACAAATCTTCACTCTGCAACTCTGATGGTCAATTGCCTATTGCCAACCAAAATTGACATACTCTGTCCTGTGATCTGCAACCCTTGCTCTACCCTCCTCTGTCATATCCAACCCTTGCTCTACCCTCCCGGCTCTCTTGTTGAGAAACGTAATTTGGTGCAACTGTCACGTGTACATGAGTGGAGATATGATAGTTGTGGTGGTTGGAGATATGATAGTTGCGGTGGTTGATAATGGTGGAAGTAGGGTGGATAATAGTAGTTGGGATGTCTTTTCTATTTCTAACAAATTGCAATAGATATGACAAACGCTGAAGCGAAAAAAATCAATTAAGGCCTTGTTTGTCAAAAGTTAAATAGTTAAAAAGTCATTATACTATTTAAGTCCCATCATCTTATTTAAGTCACATCACCTCTCTAATATATCATTTCAACTCCAATCTATACTCAATCCATATTTCATAAAAAGTTAAAAATATACTTATTTAGATCATCTTAAATCACCCTACATGCCAATAGAGAAAATGAGATGGTATGGAGAAGAAGCTTACTACCAAAAGAAATCACCCTACATGCCAATAGGGAAAATGAGATGGCATGGAGAAGAAGCTTACTACCAAAAGAAGTGAAAAAACAAAAAAAGAAAAGGAAAAAATTATTTTAAATTTTCTATCAAGAATGTTAAGGCTCCGTTTACTTAAGATGAAGCCTCTTTTGGTAAATAAATTAAAAGTCAGTTTATTAATATTTTGATTTTTTTAGGTGATATTACTTTTTATTTTTATTTTTTGGACTTTTTTTTAATAAAAGTTAAAAAGTTAACTTTTAACCTATTTCTTGAAATAAGTCAAAATAAGAAGAAAGTGAGGGAAATATAATTTTTTTTTTTAAACTTTTATGAGTTTGATAAACTTAAAAATAATGAAAAGTAGAAGAAAATTAATTTTCTTGTACAATCTATATTAGTATTATAATTAATTTTTAATCTTTTACTTTAAAAAATTTGAAAGTATGAATTATCTATAATTAAAATTTTAATTTTTTTTTTGCCTTTTTCATACAAAAATTTGCATCTTAATCCAATACTTATAAAAAAATATTTTTTATTTTATTTTATTTTATTTCTTTCACTTTCACTTTCACTTTCACTTTCACTTTCACTTTCACATTCTACTAATTTTTTCTTTTAGTTTTCAGAACCTCGGAGAAAATTATAGTATTAAAGACATACTTGAAGGGTGTATGTGCAATTTACCAGAGACAACCAAACCCCCCATAACGCATTCTGTCTCCGCCTCAGATTTCTCGCCGGAGACCAATTACATGACTAGTAGTTCTTCTTCTTCTTCTTCTTCTTCTTCGTCGCGGCAACATCATAGAGGAGGCGGCGAGAAAGTGAAAGAGGAGAGACCTCGGTCGTTCGACTCCAAGGCCAAAAACATGTGCTGGACCAATGCCCAGATCGTCCCAGGTCGACACCCTGAGAGGTGGCGCAAGGACGCCGCCGGCAACATTGTCTGCAAGCGCTTCTTCAACTGCCTCGGCTGCCTCTGCTTCGAGTACGATCACATCATCCCTTACTCCAAAGGTGCCCCCTCCCCCCTCTCTCTCTCTCTCTCCCTCCCTCGCATTCACTCCATTTGTTCGATTATTTGGTGTTTTTAACGGCAATTTTGAGCTTTGTAGTTGAATAAATTTTTGGTTTGTGGAATTTTGATCGATGGATTAATAATGCTATGGATTGTTGGATCTATTTGAGTGTTGGGTTTGTTTGGGTGTGTAAATTGAGCTTTGGGTTTAATACGAAATGCTCCCCCCCCCCCCCCCCCCCCCCCCCCCCCCCCCCGCCCCCCCCCCCCCCACCCCCCCATCCCCCCCCCCCCCCCCCCCCCACCCCCCCCCCCCCCCCCCCCCCCCCCCCCCCCCCCCCCCCCCCCCCCCCCCACCCCCCCCCACCCCCCCCCCCGGCGGTTTCTACAATCGCTTAAAGTACAACTCCATTTGTTCAACTTTGTGGTATTTTTTACTGCAATTTTTTGCTGTTTGTTTTAGTCAAATAAATTTATGGGTTCTTGGGATTTTGACTGATTGATTAGTTTTTCAGTCCCTTTTTTCAGTTTTTGGTCTTTTTAGTTGTAAAGTTTAGCTGTTTCAGTTGAATAAAATTTGGGTTCTTGGGATTTTGATTGATTGATTAGTTTTTCACTCCCTTTTTTCAGTTTTTGGTCTTTTTAGCTGTAAAGTTTAGCTGTAAAGTTGAATAAAATTTGGGTTCTTGGGATTTTGATTGATTGACTCGTTTTTCACTCCCTTTTTTCAGTTTTTGGTCTTTTTAGTTGTAAAGTTTAGCTGTTTAGTTGAATAAAATTTGGGTTCGTGTGATTTTGATCGATTGATTTAGTTGTTAACTCCATTTGTTCAACCTTTTGGTCTTTTTAACTGCAATTTTGAGCTGTTTCAATCAAATACATTTATGGGTTTGTGGGGTTTTGATCGATTGATTAATTTGCACTCCGTTTGTTTAACTTTTTGGTCTTTTAAATTGCAAATTTTAGCTGTTTCAGTTGAACAAAATTATGGGTTCGTGTAATTTTGATCAATTGGTTAGTGTTAATAAATTGTTGGGTTGGATCCCTTTGATGGTTGGGTTTATTTAGGTGTTTAAAATTGAACTTAGTTTTTTGTTTTTGTGTGTGTGTGGTGTTTGTTTCTAATTTAGAGCTTTGTGTTGCAGGAGGTGAATCTGTTGCAGAGAACTGTCAGATTCTGCAAAGCAGGGTAAACAGGTTCAAATCAGATAAAGATGGGGTGGACACCACTGAATTGAAAGGCTACTCTTGTGATATCAAGTTCACTGGTATGTTTGCTTCATTCTCTTTCCTTCTGTCTTAATGCGTAAATGTGCGGTTTTATACCAGCCTTTGTCTTCCTAAATTGCTTGCTTGGTTACTTGACTTTGACATATTTCAGTAGCATGTTATTGTCACTTTGCCATCTGTGGGATTGTGTTTGAAATGTAATTTGAATCCAGTGCAATCTAGAATCGGGGTTTGAAATTTCATATAAATGTTTTGTTGTTTAATAATCGTCTCATATTTGCATTGTGGGGACTGAAGGAGAAATGATGAATGTTCTTTAGTTTGTGCAGTCAACACTTACAGTCACATTTAACTTTAAGTAGGTCAAAGCTCAACACTACAGTCACACTTACAGTGCAAACCATAACATCAAAGCTCAACAATAGACTGCAAGCCCCCATAGAAATTAAAAATAAAAATAGAAAGACTTCAAATATAGATGCTTTTTGGAAAGAAGAAATTTCGCACACGACCTTTTTGAGTAGATCATTGAGAGTGATTAGATGTTCTCAAAGTTTTAGGATATTGTCATGGTAAGGAGAAATTACACACAACCTTTTTGAGTAGATCATTGCAAGTGATTAGACGTTCTCAAAGTTTTAGGATATTGTCATGGTAACTTCTTTTTGGTCATTCATATTTAATAACTAAGTGGCCTTTGAGCCAGACTATTTCATAAGAATTCATGTTGCTGACCCCACTTGAATGTGACACAAGAATTAGTTTAGTTTGGTTTGGTTTGTTAAATTTTTAGTGTTCTACTTAGATGGTATATGAAAGTCTAAAGACGTGATATTTTTGAAATTGATGAAAGTATCTTGTATATTCAACATAATTTTACTATGTCTTTCTATTCTATTCTGTCAACTCATTACACCCCTTTCAAGTCTCATGTCTCATAACCCATAATCCCCTTTAAAGTCCCATGTCTCATAAGTTAACCTATTATATTGAGAGATGTCACTCCCACAATTTTTTTTTTTATATTCAACATAATTGCACTATATCTTTCTATTCTTTTCTAGTCTCTCTACTCTCAAGTCTCAAGTCTCACTATCTTTTTATTTTGTACTCTCCCAGTCTATCACTCTTGGTATGTCTCTCTCCATCTATATACCTATAGCCTATAGGCTATGTATATTTATCTACAAGCTTTTTACTCGAATCTTCAAATTCTGTGTATTTAAAACCCACTGGTATTTGGAATTGGATTTCTCAATTGTGAGTAACCCATCTGATCACTTCCTTATTAGGTGCGTTAATTCTAATTTTGACAAAATTTCATTCCTATATTATCTTATCACATATAATAGCAACCATTCTTAGCCCTCTTTGTGCCCTTGCCCCTTGTTACTCCATGGGTAATGCTTGTCTAAAATTTTGTGGAGGTTTGGTTGGGTATTAACCCGAATCAATTCATGTTCATTTCGTCCCTCCCGAAGTTCGAATTTTGGGTCTACCAAGCTTAAATCCTAGGTCTGCCACTAGAAGGAAAGAGATACAGCTCAAGCTAACTGTTGGTCATAAACCACATATACCCGAACTTTAGATGGGGATAATTTTGTTTGCCTCATTTTAATTATTCATATAATAATTAGATTGGTAGCTACTGTCATTGGAAGTCTCCAACTGCAGGCATAAAATGTTGTATTTTGGCATCCATGTGTAAATTTAGATGATAGTAGTTTACTGCTTCCAGACAACTAGGGCGGTGATTCGTGTTTATTGAGACAGGTAATCTAGTATAGATTGCATCAGCATAGGCCCCTTGGGTTAAGAAATTAGTTCCTTCTTTACAGATTTTGTGAATTGATGTACAAAAAAAGGACAATTGATTTAATGCTCCAACCAAATCCCCCAACTAAACATAGTGTAAATGTAGCGTGGAGAGTATCAGGACAAATTTTTGGAATTTTTAAAAAAAAAAATTATTTTAGGAAGCTAATTTGGAGTCGAAGTAAAATATGTGGAAACAAACAATGAAATAAAAATAAAAATAAAAATAAACCCACATATACATCAATGTCTCTTATATCTCTATGCCCACATACATAGCAAATAAAAATAAATTATTTTCTTAAAAATATATAATTTTCTTTTTTGTCAGTCTATCCTACTTTTTTCAAAATTGGTGTCTTGCCTCTGTGCCTGTGCATCTTAAAATTTTCAGCATTACCTCACTTTCTTTTACATGTTGCTCACCAAGGACCCCTTCCAACCATGATTGCTTTGTTTGCTTGAATCACTAAGTGTACCTAGTCTTGATGTTCTTGCATTTGTGACATTTGTTTCAAGGAGGAGGTGAATTGACCACCAAATTACATGTTTATCCTACTACTTGCAGATAAAGAGCTTGACATAGTTGAGATGGCTGTTTATGGGGATGTAATCCGGCCAGGAAATCAATGTCGTTGCAGAACTGTTGCAGAAATGCTTGGCAAACACAAGTCCAAAGACCGCATGGCTGCTTGCAAGTTGCCTCAGAGTGGTGAATCGTCGTAGCAGGCAAGGATTTTTTAAAACTCAATTGCACGACTATTGAGAAGAAACTAACCATATTTGGCAATCAAATTTGTAATTTTCCATTCATGATTGATATGCTTTGATTGATCTATCCGACCCATTTGCCGGAATGGCTGGGTATGAAAATTCTGTAGCAGTTGTTTTTCTCTGCATTGTTAGAAATGTCACTAATCATGTCACTAATCATTGATTTAATGCATAAATTGCACTGTAATGAACCTTAACTGTTTCCTTGGAAAAGTTTACTGTATTTGTCAGAATTTCTTTAGATCCAACCCCCGAAAGTGTACATGTTCTGTATCTTTTTTGTGGAGTGTGTATAGTGAAACTTCTCAACAATAAAACACATGCTCGTCACATAAACACATAAGAGAAATGTTTTATAGCTCGAAATTTTTTTCCCCGAATGGCCCGAATTGCTGAAACGACGTCGTTTTGGCAATGTTTTTTTTTTTTCTTCCTCGTTTATATCTGAACAGAGGGAGGGAAGACAGACGAAAGAGAGAGAGAGAGAGGGAGAAAGAGAGAGGAGGAGGGAAGACAGACGAAAACAGAGAGAGAGAGAGGCGACGGTGATTGCGGGGCGGGGGCGACGGTGATGGAGGGTGCGATGGTGGACGGTGATGGAGGTTCAGACTCTGTTTTCTCTCTCTCTTTCCTTTTTGGCTCTGAAGATGAAGATGATGTGGTGATGATGGTGATGGTGATGTTGATGAAGATGTTGATGATGATCCAGATCTGTTGCTCTTTTCTTTTTCTTTTTTTTTTTTGGCTCTGATCTGTGGATGATCAAATCTGTTGTGGGTGGGTTTGATTTTGATTTTGTGTTCAATTTTGTGGTTGAATCAGATCTTCTTCTTCTCTCCTCTCCTCTTCTTCTTCTTCTACTTCTTCAGACTCTTCTTCTTCTTCAGACAAAAGAGAAGGACAAAAGAAAGAAAAAAAAAAAAAAAAAATCTAAAACGACGTCGTTTTGGGATTTCGGGGGATTCGAGCTCTAAACCATTCGAGCTACACAGCGGAGTTGAACACATGATTTGGATTAGAGAGAGAGAGAGAGTGCGGAATTTTGTTGGAAATTGATTAACATGTCCTCGGTCCTTGAGTTATCTTTAAAATCAAATCATATTGGGTTTGGTTCACTATTTGTGACCATGCGGACAACTTCATCTAGGGATAATCCATGCCTAAAGGCACTACTGACAAATTTTTTGGTACCACGTGCTTTGAAACTCAGGCTAAGTTTGGCATCTTTAAAAAAAGTTAAAAAGTCAAAAAGTCACTATCCTATTTAAGTCACATCATCTTATTTAATTCACATCACCTCTCTACCACATCACTTTAAACCCAACTCATATTTCATAAAAAGTTAAAAATACACTTATTTAGAACATCCCAAACAACCCCTCAATGGTAATAAATCAATTCAAAATGGTAATAACACTCTAATTTAAAACTTTATATATAAGAAACTGAAATTGTTTCAACACATTGAATTAGTGAAAGCATTTACAAATTTCAAAATTAAAGTCCAAATAACCTTTCGCTTTATCAGATTTCAATGTCTTTAAATAAAGGTCAATGAACATTTTGATACAAAAGAATCATCCTAGCTAACCAAAAAAAATATATTAATCATTTTGTTTAGAATGAGAGAGCCGACCAACGACTCACAGATAGAAGTAATATAACCCAACATTTGTAATACGGATTAGTCACCTGTAACAAAATCACTTGCTTAAATTCGCTTTAAAAACCCAATAGTTATGAAAAATTACATCAAAATGCATATGGGAAATTGGAAGAAATTGTAATGAAGAATAATTGCATCAAAAGAAACTGTAACATGAAAAATCGTATCAAAATACATATGAGAAATAGGAAAATCAATTGCTATGAATTAAGAAGAACTGAACATAATTATTATGGTCAACTGAATTATGTCAGTCAATGGTGAAGTGAGAATAGACATATGTATGCATTATTAAAGTAAACAAATGAATAGAAAAGCAAATAATAGTATAGATAGACCAATTAAGAATGTCGATAAATCATACACCTCCCAAATAGAATTAAACTGAAATTTTGTAAGGGGAGCGAATAATTTTCTTTATTATGACTAAGAAAGTCTTGTTATAAGGAAGAAGAATTTTTGAAGGCTGTAAAACCAAACAGAATTAAATTTTAAAACAATTAAAGCTTACCATGTGTGAAGTATCCATTTTTGGATGATCATGCTCCTTTGAGTTTCCATCCCTGTGATAATGCATACCTCATTTTCTAGTTGAAACATTATGTATAACAATTAGTAGGCAACAAAAAAAAGAATCAAACTTGAAATCAATGTTATTGGGCAAATCTAACTAAAAATAAATCCAATGTTCATTAAATAAAATTAAGTGTACTATTTTTTTAAAATAAAGATTACAACCAAATACTTATAAAAGATACTTACCACAACTAAAAAAGGAAAGAGAGAGAATGAAACTGAATTAAACATTAAGTAGAGAAACGGAACAGTTGAAAAGAGAATGAGAAAAACATAATTAATGCTTGATATAAACAGAATAGTTACATAGGGGAACTAATTAAACAAAAAAAAGATAGGTTTTCCGAAAATCAGTACATGAAAATTGATTTTAGAAATCAAAAATATTTTAGAGCTTTAAAATAAGAGCTCTAATGGGGCTCTAAGGGGTGGTGGGTCTCATGCGATATGATGTTTTGGTCTTCTTTGTTTTTCATTGCCAAGTATATAGAGCTCTAAGCATTGTTTAGAGCTCCATTTTAGGGGATGCATTATTTCCCTTTGGAAATCTATTTAGAAACTCATTTAAATAATTGTGCTGGTTCATTTATTATTTTAATATTTTTGAAATCAAAACCATTCAGAAACACATTTAAATCTAACCCATTTTAAAAATAAATAAAAAAATCATTACATGAAGATGGGTTTCTAAAATCTAAACCATTTCAAAATATTATTACATGAAATTCACGGCTTTTTCTCACTTCATACCCAACAGCACCTTTGCCTCAAACCAATCAATTGACCTGCCAACTTAAAAAAGAAAAGAAAAAGGGATTAGTTAGTTTGTATACTTTCTAGATGATTGATAACATGTTGGTTATTAAGTGAGGATAAAGAAAAGTGAAAAATAAGGAATAAAAAATGCGGACATGATCTCTTGCTATTAGAGAGAGAAGGGAGGTCAACGAATGGCCTGTACCTAAAAATAATCTCAAAACACATACAAAGTTTGAACTATCCATCATGAAAATATAATTCTAATTACTTTCACATTATTAATTCTAATTACTTCACATAATTCAACATATAACTAAAACTGACATCTAAAAACTGTTTGTAATAGCATGTATTTTTGTGCTCGAAACTTTGGTACAACAATTATGTTAAATAAACACATACAAAAAAATGGGGACAAAAGAACAATGCATACAACAACACACCTATAAAAAGAACACACATACAACAACACGCATGAGAAAGAGTAAGACATGAATTGGATCTAATTAAAAAGAAGCTACCATCCATTTGTTGAACCTCAAATATCCAAGTAGATTATTTTAGAGAACTTTATTATTTTAACACAAAAAATAAAATAAAATAAATATATACAAAAGTGAATAGCTGAAACAAAAAAGGAGAAGCCATCAAGCACTTCACCAACATTAAGGGTTGAAAGTGAAACCACTTTATTCTTCACTCATAAGGTACCATTATGCATAATCATCCGATTAAAAGTATAAAGCAGGTTTAAACTACTTCAAGTATAAAGTAAGTTTATGCCATCCCTCAGTACTTCAGGATAACTAACTAATAACATAGATGGTCTACTGAATTAATTTAGTTCCAAAACTAAATATTTGGAGAAAAATTGAAACGGCCAATTGGCTTGTTACTCTAGACTTCTTTACTATTTTTTTTACAAATTCTTTTTAGACCTCATTGAGCCAATCTCAGCTTTGTTTATAGAGTTTTACAAAATAATTGGCAAAGCTGAAAATATAATTATTATTATTATTTTTTATCACAACTTACAATCCTCACTCTGAAAGTAAAATAAAAAATGAGAAGAAGAAGAAAAAAAAAATTACAGACAATGAGAAGGGAAAAAAAATGAGAAGGAAAAAAGAAGAAGAAGACGAAAGGAAAGAATAGGCTCGGCTCTTGTAAAAAATTACATACAATTTTCACCCAATGAAACTAAAATATATTGAGTCTCACAGGGGTAAAGGGAAGAGACAAAAAAAATTTGACTCTAACCCATCTAATCAAAATTTTAATTTATTATAACCACATTTTTTTAGTCACATTTGTCACATCTATTTTAAAATGAATATACAATTGTGCCTACAGTGTTTAAAATGAAAATTTTAATTGATTATAAGCACTGGTAGAGTTATAGGGTGTGAAAAAAGTAATAGGCAAAGTTATTCTATTGAATCAACATAATCTAAATTTCTCTTCCACCCCCAAAATCTCCTAGAAGAAAAATTCCAATAAAAAGAAACTCAATAAATAAACTTCTAGTTCCCCAAACAAAGATCTAAAATTGTGAAGAAAAAAAAAAGGCTCACTTGTTCAATGGGTCATTATGTCGTTGCTCTCCATTTATTGAAACATTCACCAATAGACCCACACAACACTTCCAGTCATTGTATAATCCAAAATTTTCAAGTCTAATCAAAACAAAGTAAAACATCTTGTTTTTAAAAACAATAAAATCAAACATAAAGGCATTTTAAACAATGCTAATTTTTAAAATTATAGTAAAAATTATCACAATGATTATAATCAGAATTGTATGAAATTCAAAAATTAAAATAGAAGACACAAATTATCAACATTAAAAAATCAAGTACTCGCTTTTCTTGGTTCTTGCTTTTCTACAGTCTCTGAACAAAAACATAAACTGAACCTAGTTAATAATCCAGAAGATAACCAACATGTAAAATGAAGCCTAGCTAATAAAAATTTAAGATTCTTAATTTTCACAACATGTAAAATGAAGCCAAGCTGAACAATAGATAAGCAACAAATTATTGACAAATCCATCAATGGAAGGCAGACCAACCTAGTCAACCATTGTAGCAAACAAAGCCATAACAACTTTTTATGAGCTAATCAAACACTCTTCCAAGCAAAAGGAAGAATAGAAAATATAAGTAAGCAAGCTCCATTATCCATTATCCAAAATCAACTCCCTAAAAATTGCCCCCTATTTGTTATTAAAAATAAGATCCAACTCCCACGGATTGATTCACCAATTTGAATATACCTCTATTTTTGTTAACCTTACCAAATATCCAAGGCATGTGCCATTCACTATTTGGGGAGGAAAATGTAGAATAAACTATGAGATAATTTTGATCAATTAGGACATTCACATTACTAGCACTAAGTGCATTCAAGCATGATTAATCAAACTCTCTATAGGAAAAGTTGTTTAGTCATTTACTTGGCCTGTTATGGTAGATTCACTCACTATTTGAACAACAAAAAAGTATAATTTATATAAGCAGTTGGTTTAACCAAAAGAAAATAAAATATTTTAATTGAGGCATTTTACAGAACAACAATGCTAGAGGGCCACAATTTTGTGGCCACAATGGCTCAAAACTGCCAAAACGACGTCGTTTTGGCATGTTTTGCACCCAAAACGACGTCGTTTTGGCAGTTTTGAGTTATTGTGGCCACAAAAATTGTGGCCTTCAAACATTTTCCTTTACAGAATATTCAAAATTTGACCATTAAAAACAATCGCCACAACTTTGTAGCAAAATTTGCAATTAGTTACCTGACCAAAATGATCAAGAAGATAACCAACAATTTTATAGCAAAATTGAATGCTTATGTGTCATGAAAATTTTATAGATGTTAGAAAAGTGAATCTGAAAGGTATAAATGTTAGAAAAATGAATCGAAAAGGTTCAGCTAAATGCAAGTAAAGAAATGATGTTTATTCCTAAGAAAGAAAAAATATACACAACATCATTGCAACTTAGGCATAAACTCAGAAAACTCACATAGAAAAATCGATAAAAAATAACAGAACACGGAACCAGAAGTAGAAATCAAGAGAAGAATAATATTGATAATTGGATGATTCCCATTATCCAAAAGCAAGTTAAAAAATTATTGGGATGATTCCAATTTCTCTACAAAATCAAACCGAAAACGAAAATATGAGAGAGGATACCATCAACTGGATTTGTTGTTAGGATCTTTGAACCAAAGAGAATCAAGTTGAAGGATTCTCGATCTGCAATGCCACTACAGGAGCTTGGAATCAATTTCATTGCCGACTTCAAACTCTAGCAAAATCAAGCAGTAAATCAAACAATCCCTAAGCCTTACCATTGCTATGACATGAGGCTGAGGTAAGGAAGTGGTGAGGCGATGTCCAAGAGGAAGGGGCAAGGTTGGAGCTTAGATAAAGGGGGGAGAGAGAGAGATGAGAGATATATGAGATGAGGAGACTGAGAAGGAGAGCTCTGCAGAATTTATAGATTGGAGTTTCAAAATTTGAAACACAACGGCCATATGAGGGTGGATTGTAGGAGGGCCGTTGGATCTGGAGTAAAAATGAACGTACCCTTTTATTCAAGTTATATATCTAACCCTTAGATTGAATCAATCTGACAGTCTACATTTTAACACATAGACAAATGTCCCATCTTAATTCAAAAGCACCCTTGTTTTGTTATATGGATATTTGAGATAATTTTGTCTAGGTGAGACTATTTATCCGAAGAAAATGATTTCTTCCCAAAATGACTAAAATACCTTTCTCGAAATAACTGAACTCTAAATCCTAAACCAAACATTACCTAAGTTCTCAAAATGACTAAATACCTTTTAGATAACTAAACTCTAAATCATAAACCACCTAAAATGACCTAGTAAGTTTTGATAAATGATTTGAAACAAAACAAGCCTACATGTGCAAGATCTCATGAAGCCCAAGATACACCTGGATATCTGGACTAGCCAGACCTTGAAAGCCCATTGTTATTCTTTGGTGCCTCTTCCATTTCTCTTTTTATTTTATTTTTAGAAAAATAAAATAAAATGATTGGAGATTCTCAGATTAATACTGCTAGTTATAGGGGAAAAAAAAAAAAAAAAAAAACCAAGTTGGCAAATCTAATCAATCTTCGGCCTAAAATCAGAGTTAGTGAAAGAGTAGCCTAGTTTGGTGAGCAAAGATCAATAGTGCAATAGAAACAGATCCCTTGAAGTCAGTCAAGCTCACTAGTCTGAGGTTAACTCCTGAGATCCCTTCTCCGATGACCTATCTAAGAAAGTTTGAAGTTTATTGTAATAAAGGGTTGCTATAAGGCTCAAAAAGCATATAAATAATTTCATTAATTGTTGTAATTAGGGTGCCTAATTGTTCACTAATTAGCTGCACGCATGCTCGCGTATGATTATATATTTTATAAGATTTTTTTACCAGTAAACACGGATGGTAAAAAATTATACCAAACATATTACTCTATTTTTCATACCATTATTAATTAACATAAGCGTTTACTGTACACGTTGGAGGGTCATTTAGCAGGTGCCCTTAATCTTGGCCCTTGCAAGCGTCCTGAAAACGAAAAATTATTAGATACTCTTATATTATTATGTGACATTGTTTATATAATATTTTCTATAAATGATAGAATGAAATATATATTAATAAGTTATTTTTTATCTCTCAAATTTCTAACAAAGGTGAATCAAAATGTTTTATTCATAAAATTTTCTACTATTTATTAATTCAAAACACTACATAAATAATATTAAATAGTGTTATTAGAATAATGAATAATTATCAAAATGGCATACAGTTTTGTGAAGAGATTTCTCAATCATAAATGCTAAATTAATTCCTACACCCACTACATTGAAACTAAAGCTATTACCTTTAAAATTGCCCACTTAAAAAGTATGAAGAGTGAAGTTGTTGAACAATCATGGGGGATGGGTTGGCCACACCACTTGACCCCCCTTTGACCTACCCATTCTCTCTCTCTCTCTTGGATGATTGATATCTATATCCTATTTATAATTTTTAAATTGGTATTGGTGGTTTTGGTGGAGTTTAATTTAATATCTTCATTCAAAAGATGCTTTATGACTAGTTAACAACTGTGGTGAAAAAGCACATTTATAATGGCTCTTTACTTTTCAAAGAAAATAGAGTCCACACAAGGGTTGGTTTTACGAGTTGGGATAACTCCTCCTTGTAATCCTCCTTGCAACGGCTGAGATTAGCTGTTGCAACATTCAACGGCTGATTTTAATTTCTTTAGCAGTTGATCTCAGCCGTTAGATATTGCAACAGCTAATTTCAGCCGTTGCAAGGAGGAATTGCAAAGAGGGGATCCGGACTCTGATTTTACATCTTGTTAACATCTCTTTATAAATATGTAAAAACTTTTTTTTATAAAGTACAAGTATTATAATGTGCAAAATGGATATAGTGAGAAATTTAACAATTGTAGACATAAATTTCTGAATTGGATTATGTTTGTTGACCAATGTAGAGTTTCATATGGTGCAAGCAAACTGCAAACATTATGAGACAAATTCTCAAAATACAAATTAAAAACAAAAAAAACCTATGAATAACCTCTATAAACTGTAAGCCCAAAGTTGCACAATAAATTATCTCTTGAAGATTTATTAATTTGCTTTTTTTAGCATTATTTTGTTTTGTTTATGCTTACTTTTGTATGGGGGAAATGAGTACAAATGAGTACCTCAGTAGCATTAGGAATGGGGGGGCAGCAATTATGACTCAAAATGAGTGCTCATGACAGTAGTGGTAGAACACCCAGGTTTATATGATACCATTAGTGTTAAAAGACTCCTAATTTAAATTTTAAAATTTATTTATAATAACATAATAAGGAAATTATGTAGTTGATTTTTTTTATACATTTAAAATTTACACTTAAATTACCATGTCATTATGAATAAACCTTTTACAAGTCTTCAATCTTTTTCACATACAAAACCTGTCCAAAACAAAAGTACAGCATCTCCTAAAAGAGAATCCTAAGTGATAAAATTGTGTTATATGTCTATATAATATGGGTAGTGATATAAATAAACCGAGTTCAAACTAAATAGTTGGTGTTTAATTTTTATTTATTTTTTAACTAAATAGTGGATGTTTAAACTAGAAACTTAGAGATATGATCACTTGCGCTACGCTCAAATTTAAATTTGATTTAGGAACTTCATAAATTTTAAATCTATTTTAAAATTGATTTAATTATTTTTCCAGCAATTCTCAAACAAGTTTTGATCAAGTCAATCATAAGTCAAGATCATATAGCTTATATATATAATTATAAAGTGCATATGAGTTTATCAAACCAAGTTGAGCTAGCTCAAAAAATTGATGAGCTTCATAATGAGTTCAAGTTGACTTGTTTACACAATAAACTGATTTCAAACAAAATTTTAACTAGTCAAACACAAGTTAAATTCAAGTATCATATGCTACTTTTGAAATTGTCTGAAAAAACTCTAAATCATTTGAGTATACTCATTTTTTTCAAAAAATCAACTTTAATTTAAAAACTCTAAATCATATGTCAAACATATTAATTTTTTTAACTAACTTGAGATTTTAACATTTATTCCTTACTATAGTATATTAATTTTTGTAGAAATGATTATGATTTGTGTCATTTATGCATAAACCTACAGTATATGTGTGGATCTTGTATGATTTGCTCTTTATGTGATTGATCTTAACAGCACTAGTTGGTGTGCTTTGTTTGGTATTTATAATTTTCTTTTAGATTGTAGAGCACCAATTGGTGTATTTAATTTGTTTTATCATTTTATTTTATTTTATTTTTGGTATTTTCATTACTTCATTTTATAAAATGAAAATGTCAATACTTTTAATATTTGGTGTAAATGGAATATTTATATCTAAATTACCTATGAATAATTTTGAAAATTCATGTTTAAATTGATTTATTTTGAATAATCGTACACACTATCAAATAACATAATAATTTAAGTTTTTTTTTTTCTGATTTATTTATTTTTGTACTTAAATTTTGTTGAGTATGCCTTTAAGTACTAGGTTGATATTTGATTGATCAACAACAATGCATGTTCATTTGGGTTTTCATTTTCCCTTTTAGACCATCTCCAACGGTTCACTAAATTTAACATCAAATTTAAATTTTAGTGAAAAAGTCACTGTTTGGTGCTCCAACGGTTACACCAAATCGGTATCAAATTGAGAATTCACCAAAAAATTCATCAAACTGAGAATAAGCTGCAAATTTTATCAAATTACTGTTCCTGACCGTTGAAAGAGTTTGTTCATTTGGGTTTTCATTGCCCCTTTTAGACCATCTCGGTTCACTAAATTTAACATCAAATTTAAATTTTTGTGAAAAAGTCACTGTTTGGTGCTCTAACGGTTACACCAAATCGGTATCAAATTGAGAATTCACCAAAAAATTCATCAAACTGAGAATAAGCTGCAAATTTTACCAAATTACTGTTCCTGACCATTGAAAGAGTTGAACCGGTCAACCAGCCGGTTGCCTGGCCAATTGACCAACCGATCGACTACTAAAACGTTCAAACAGTTCAAATGAGTTTGTGAACAATTCAATATATATATATATATATATATTTTTGCTTTACCGATCAACTAGCCGGTCGACTACTAAAAGGTTCAAACAGTTCAAATAGGTAGGTTCAAACAATTCAAAAAAAAAAATTGCCTTACCAGTCGACCAGCCGGTTGTCCTAAAGCAAATTTAATAAAAATCAACCATTAAAATATTCAGTATCAAATTGAAAAAATGATCATTTTTTTATTCAAATTTAATAAAAAATTTCTTAGTATTCAATAAGATTTTGACACCTCTGCTTTGTTTTTTTCCCAGTACGCAGAGTCTTGCACATGCTTACAAATATGGTTAGCATTCCAATATAATTCTCTTGTCACATCCTTATTTTGGTTCAGTACTGTCCTGAGTGACCACTTTTTAAATCCACATAAAGTGAATTGATTGTACTCTCTTTCTAACTCCTTGCTTTTTCATTCATCCACATAAATTGTGTTTTTGCCATATTTTCCAAGGTCTTTTGGAAGAAGAAAGAAAATGGAGTAAGCCACAAGCACAAAACATGATTTTTTTTTTAAAAAAAAATTTTAACAGCACAAAACCTGATTGAGACGCAAACTTCTGTTTGGTCAATAGATTTTGATTAGAGATTTGTGAGGATCAAAAAAAAAATGTGAAGAAAATTTAAATTTTTCTCTCTATTTCTGTTACTTACCATTTTATACAAATATAAAATGCAAACGCAGTCTTAATCTTGTGCCTGTAGTATAATTAGAACAATGACAAGTCAAGAAGGTAGTTGAATTCTTTGAAAATTTGTTGAGTGACATTAGACACAAGAAAAAATATAGAAAAGAAAGGCAAATATTAGTGACCATCTTGGGACATTCTTTATAAGAAGTTAGGTAAAAAAATATTTTGAAAACTTACAACAATTTTGAATCAATAAAAAAATGTTTAAAAATTAATAAAAATTGTCTCATGTCGTTCCTCAATTTCAAGGAATGCAAGAAGAAGAAAAAAAAAATTCAGTTTGGTTAGGATGAAAATGGTAGAAAGTGAAAGAAATGGAAAAAAAATTAAATTTTTCTAAATTTGTTTAGTATAAATGTGGTGGACGTTACAAGAAAATTAATTTTCTTGAACAACTCATAATAGCAAGGTAATTAAACTTCCAATTCCTTGAAGAAAAAAAAAAAAATAAATAAATAAAATACGAGAAAGTTTAAATTTGTTATAAAAGTAGTTACTTATGATTAGAATTCTTATGTTCTTACAAAATTTTCATCATAATCAAATTGATACGAGAAAAGATATTTTATTTTCTTTTTCTTTTCTTTCACTTTACTT